TCCTAAAATGTAACCATAAATTTGTACTATATCAAAAATTAAGCTAATAAAAACCAACTGGCATTGTCGCCAAAGTTAAAAAAAAAAAAAAAAAAAAAAAAAAAAAAAAAATTTTAAAAGTAATAGCATATAGTACTATGCTTATTTTATTTTTAAGATTTTTATAATAATACTGATTTGATATAAATTGTATATGCTACAATAATAAATTTAGTTTTTTTTATTAAATTCATTCAAATAAAATTATATATATAATTAAATTATAATAATAATCTAGTCAGGTCTAGTTTTTCTTAAAAATTGTTACAAAATTTAAATATTTGTATTATTAGTTTAAAAGATTTTCTTATTAATTTATATTATTATATATAATATATATAGATTATAAGATAAATATAGAGGTCACTTAAAGCCAGGTCCATCACGAAATCACCTAATGATCTGCAACTATCAGGTAATTAAATAAATCAATTTAATTTTATAAATTTTTTAAGAATTTAACTAAAAGTACCTCGATAATCATTCAAGCAAATGCAATAAAATTGTTTTTATTTAATTCTAATGATATCTAGAATTAAAATAAAAAAAAGTTCATCGAATTTGCTTGAACAGTTGTTAAGATATCTTTGCTCAAAGTTTTGTGAAAATTTAAAACACCTATACTTAATTATGATAATAAATATGTACTATAACTTTGAACAAAGATATCTTGACAACCTTTCAAGCAAATTTGATAAACTTTTTTTTATTTTAATTTTAATGATCTCTAGAATTAAAATAAAAAAAAGTTCATCGAATTTGCTTGGATGGTTGTCAAGATATCTTTACTCAAAGTTCTGTAAAAACTTGAAATACTTATATATAATTATAATAACATGTGCAATATTTTTGAACGAAGTTATCTCGATAACCATTCAAGCAAATTCGATGAGCTTTTTTTTATTTTAATTTTAAAGATTATTAGAATTAAAATAAAAAAAAAGTTCATCAAATTTGCTTAGATGATTGTCAAGATATCTTTGCTCAAAGTCCTATAAAATTTTAAACTACTATATAATTATAATAAACACTTGTACAATAATTTGAATGAAGATATCTTGACAACCATCTAAGCAAATTTGATGAACTTTTTTTTATTTTAATTCTAATAATCTTTAAAATTAAAATAAAAAAAGTTAATCAAATTTGCTTGAATGGTTGTCAAGATATCTTTGCTCAAAGTTCTGTAAAAACTTGAAACACTTATATATAATTATGACAACATATGCAATAATTTTGAACAAAAATATCTTGACAACCATCCAAGCAAATTCGATAAGCTTTTTTTATTTTAATTCTAAAGATTATTAGAATTAAAATAAAAAAAAAAGTTCATCGAATTTGCTTGGATGATTGTCAAAATATCTTTACTCAAAGTTCTATAAAATTTTAAACTGCTATATAATTATGATAAACACTTGTAATTATATATAAGCATTTTAAATTTTTATAGAACTTTGAGCAAAGATATCTCTATAACAACCAAGCAAATTCGATGAATTTTATTCTAGAAAACTTTAGAATGATTATCAAAATACTTAAGTTAATTTTTATTTTATTTTATTTGTATATTAAATATTTTATTAATTTTATATATTTATTTTATCAAAATACTTTAAATTTTATTTTATTTATATATTATATATTTTATCTATTTATTTTATTTATCATCATTTTTATTTATTTATTTATTTCTTTGCTTTACTCTTCAGATTTAAAATTACATTTAAAGAAACTGTCAATGTATCAATAAACATGATCTTCTATGCTACATCACCTTTTTCTTCAACCTTCCAATAAGCATTATATATTCTTTTCATTAATTTATTTACTGTTAAGCATCATTTGTTTGCAGCTTTCTTGTCATACATTTTTTGGAGAAAGTCAATTTTTACTAAGCATTGATCAATGTACACATTGAACTCATTCTTCATGAACATTTGCTGAAACTATTTTCAAGTACTATATGTTAATAACTTATTTTCTCTATATATATGTTCATGAAACATATACTAGCACAGAAGCAAGTACTAATGAAAGAAAAGACAATACCAGTTGGAAGACATAAGGCTTGGTATCTTTTTATTCTTTTTTTGATAACGTAAACTTTACTAATAATTAATTGTTGTATAGAAAAAAGAAACTTATAGATTTGTTTAAGAATTTCGAAACTTATACTAAAAGCTGAGATTTGCTTAATGTGAAATTCAAAAGCCATAGTTTCTGCATCTGATCACTTTTTTACATCAAGCATAACTACTTTGTTACAAGCATCTTAATAAAATAATACAAATTTTGTAATATAATACAAGTATACAAAAACACAAAAAATTAATTAATAAATAAGTACCATATAGCACCCTACTAGAGAGAGTTAAAAAAAACACATATATAAAAAAAAAAAAGAAAACAATCAAAAAATTAATTAATAAATGAACACTATTTAGTGTCCCACTAGATAGAGAGTTGAAGAAAAAAAATATATATATATACACAAAAAAAAAAAATATACATATGCAAAAAAAAAAAAAATACACAGAAACTACTTATTAATTTGTAATAAGAGACTGTCATTTTTTTCAGTTTGCTGTGATATGATTTTATAGCATTCATTGGGATTATTTGTAAGAAAAAAGAGGAATGCTGTCAGGCCCAAAGGGCCCATTGATTTGTATTTTTAGTATAATTCCATAATATGTATTGTTTAATTTCAGGAACTTCATATTTATTGATTGCCTTCTTAATAAGTTTATTACATCTGATTCTTGTTACTTTATGCATTACATGTATTATTTTATGCTAAACCTTTGGTTCATAAATCCTGCTCATCCATGTACGAACAACATAAACAGTACAAAAAAGCACATCACATGCCTGTTTACCCTTAAACAAATCTGAAAAAGTTCTAAAGATGCCACCACTCTCAATATTACTTTGGTTAGCAAGAAAGTAATAGGGAACCCAAGATATTTGAAAATATCAGATTATTTGCAAAATCCTCACAACCATCTCACTAATTTCATCACTAACAAAAAAATAGGCATCAACATCTTAAGAACCATAACCATCCTGAATATATAATGTAAACAACCTTTAATCATATCTGTTTGTTTTATATGTAGAATTTATTAAAGTCAACTATCCAAAACAATGAAGCTTCTCAAGCTGATTTGGGTGGGCAAAAGCAAAACCCTGAGCTGACTGATCATAATGTTCTATCTGATATCCTTCTTTTTTAAAAAAAAGAATGAATTTTTCAATGTTCAACTTTAAATTTTTGTTACTTACAAGATATGAATCCTGAGACCCAAAAACTTTTCTTTTAATATTATAAATCTCTATTCATTTTAATTCTTTTATACTAGTACTAAGATCCAATCTCTTAGTTCCATACTCCTTGATTATGTTGACAATAACCAGAGACAGATAATTTTTAATTGCTTCTTTCTCAACCAAGTTACAAACAAACTAAAAACATTTTAACTTCTCATTTTCTTCAATGATATGTGTGTAATCAAGACTATTGAGATATCATTTAATAAGTATTTTTTGCTTATTTACAAACTGTAAAACCCTGATTTTTACATAACACAGGTTTGGAAAACAGACTTTCATTTTTCTATGCTTTTTACTTGAAACATCTTCCTTATGTATGCTTGACAAATTATGCTTAATAAAACAACATGTATATATTATCTACAAGTCACTATTTTTATGACTTTTGAAATTATATCTTGTCCAAAAGTTTGTAACAAGGGGCCATCATTCCTTATAAAATCTTACTCTTGAACTTCAAATGACTGCTTAACATTAAAAAGAAGTGCCTGTCTTTGATTAGGTATAAAACATAACAATATATAATATGCATCCTAAATACAGAACTGCATATTTGTTAATACAAAGTTTCATTTAAACTATTAGACTAAAACTCTACATATCTTAAATGCTACTGCTTGATTTTCCTTATTGTTTAAGTTTTCAGTATTGTTGATGTCCATCTTTTAATAAATTTCGCAAACACAATTTTATTAAAAAAAAAAAAAATTATTAAAAAAAAAAAAAATTATCGAAAAAAAAGATTGTTATTCAAAGAATATTGCAATGCTACTATCTGAAGCAACGTCTCTTCAAAACTACGACTTATTTAATATCATAGAACTATGGCTTGTTTAATATCGTGGATAGTATTAAAAGAAAAAACTTTCATTACAATATAAAAAGTTTTTAGCGCAAATAAAAACTCTGGGTTGAAAAAAAAAAAAAACTTTCGTCACAAAAAAAAAACTTTCATCACAAAAAAATCTTTGGCGCTGAATAAAAACTGTAGCAGTAGGTTCAAAAAAAAAAAAAAAGAACAAAACGGAAGTATATTAAAGATGGAAAACCTGTTGTGTAGCCGCCAGATTGCAATTAAAATAGTAATCCCGTGATTTATCTGATGATCGACGATTATCGGATAATTTCGTAATGGACCTGGCTTTAAGCGACCCCTAAATTTGTAATGTTGTCAAATGATCTACAAAACTTAGCCAACCAGATACTACACAACATAATAATAACATTCTTCCACAAAAAAAAAAAAAATGCCACGTACACCCAGTCCTCGTTCTGATTATTCGCGCCGACATATTTTACGTTCAGAATATAGAGAGAAAGATGCATATTCCCGCGATCGAGAACTCCCTTCCGATACTTACCGTGATCTGGATAGACCTATGGAAGATCCTTATTATGAACGTCGTAGATCTCGTTCACCAACTGGAAGAGATAGAGATAGAGAGAAATATGATCGTCGGGAAAGAAGATCAAGGTCTCCATTAAGAGACCGAGATAGGGATAGGTATCGGGAACGTGATAGAAAAGAACGTCGCAGAACTCCTGAAAGACTTGGACGATACCGTTCTCGATCACGTTCTCCCGGTGGCAGAAGAGGTAAGAGAATATTTTTTGCATTCTAAACTCATGCTTACAATATAGGTTGATTCCCAGTGCTTTTAAATTGATCATAAAATAAATAAGTCTTGTTCTGGGCTCAACCCATATTGTCGTGACAATATTTTTTTGCAAATTTGTACATGCACTGGTGAGAGAATAAGGTATGCGGTCTAATGTTGTTAATCCTGTACATCTTTAATTTAATATCTGGTATTTCACGTATTTCCTTATTCCATATATAACGATAGAACGTGGCCTAAGCCCTTATGGTTCTGAGCGCGATCGTAGAGGTTAACTTTTAATTACTATATTGGTTTTATAATGAATGAATGAGTTCATTCGATTTAATATTTTAAAATACAGATGATAGATATGATCGGAGAATCAAGTCACGATCACGATCACCAAGGTAATTATTAATGTTATTTTTAGTATCCATTGTTCGGAGAATTCATATATGTTTTTCTAACATTATAGGAAAGAAGACACTGGGAACGCGTTGGGAGGTTTGTATAATGACAAATTTTCCGAATGAACAATTTTTTATATTAAATGTGCGTCTTAACTCTTTTTAGAACCGTCAAATAATCCTGCAAACAATCTAAACCCGGATGACGATCCTGAGAAAGCAATGATGATGCTTATGGGCATGTCAGGATTTAGCACCACAAAAGTATTGTATTCATTTTTTGATTTGCATGTTGATTAAATGGGAAGACGATTGTTTTGATCTAGTTTTTATTTATTTAATATTATTAGGGTAAGAAAGTTCCAGGCAATCAAACTTCTGCTGTTAGCATAAAAAAGCAAAGGCAATATCGCCAATATATGAATAGGCGTGGGGGCTTTAACAGGTTTGGATATTTTAATTTAACAAAATTTATTTTATATATATATATATGTATTTTTTGACTTATTTATTGTTCATTAATTCAATTTAGACCGTTAGACAAAATTCAATGAATTGTAATGGTTATAATCAATTAAAAACTTGTAAGCTTTGTCGAGTCAATAATTTTGATATGGCTAAGATAGCTCAGTCGGTTATAATCTCGATAAATTAAATCTACCAATAGTAAACTATAACCTGGAAATTCTTACTAGTCATACTTATATTTATGTTGCTTTATTTTGAATAAATATAAAGAACAAGACGTCGTTTTATAATGTTTTCGATGGAAAAAAAGATAAACATAGTTGTATGACGTTTCTGAAGAAGAGAAGAAAGTGTTGTTATGTTACATTCTCAAACTGATCCGGAATTTTATTATACAATTCACGATAGACGTTGATATCAATGGCTGTACTGTTACACCATAATGACTATCCATTTTTCAACCTGACCTCAAAATAGAACAATAGAATTCGGGATCGGATTTAATAATTCGTTATCACACGAATTTTATGATGTTTTAGGATTTATTATCGTCATGAGATAGTCCAACTTGAGGACGGACATGAAATTATATTCTAAACGTTTAATCCCTAAATCTGTTCAAATATCATCTAAAATTCGGATTCAGCCATAAAAAAAAAACAAAATTATTCATAAATTTTCTTTTTCACAATATCAGTGATCTCGATAGTGATTGGATAATAATTATTTATTATTGTTATAGAATGACCCAATGATAGATATGTTTAAAGTTAATTGCTTTCTATATATAAATTTTTTTTATAAACGTATACGTAGTGAATACGTATTAAATTTTTATCTTAAAATCTTGAAAAAATAAAATTATGTTTTAAATTATAATAAAAGGGTCATGTAGATTATACTTTACATGGTTTGGATTGATTTCAGAGCGTTCCAATTAGGTATAGTCGTCACTTGAACGACTACGTAGACATTTTACTTACGCAAAGACGAAATATCATATAATTATCGTTATGCTATTTTAGTTAAAATTTTTAATTTTGATTTAGGGTAATATAATGTTGATCATTATTTGCGGATTTTGCTATGGCATCCATTTATAGGTGTTACTTTAATTGTTAAAATATGGTACATTTTTTTTGACATAAGATTGATTCTTTATTTAACATAACATTAAATAGTTCATGAGAGTGTATAAAATCCATGTGCACAAAATGCTCAATGCACATTTTTTGACATGTAATTCACAACTTTTAAGCTAGCCTAACTAACAGAAAAATTATATTGTATTTTTTTTAAGCTGTAATTCTAGACTAGCTCTACAATGTAACAGAGATACCGTAAAATCTCGAAATAGCGTTATTTCGAATTTTGGCCTGAATTAAGCTTAATGCTGGCCGAAATTCGAAATAACGTTGTTTCGAGATTTTACAGTAACTTTTTTTTAAAAAAATTTAAAAAAGGGTTGATTAAGAGTTATCTCTATTACATTGTAGCTAGTCTAGAAACTCATACAGGGGATCCCCAAAATTCCGGGTCGGAATACTTCGGATTTAGCCCGGCATTTAGTTAGCATTTAGTAATACAAGTTAA